ACATGGATGCCCTCTGAGATCTCAGAAGTCATTGTGCAGGTTGCTAAGCAACCCCCAACTATATTGCCAGCTTAAAACCTTGATTTGTGACATTAAAAAGCAGGTGGCAGGGCCCTTTCCCAGCACTCTTTTGGCCTACCAGTCCGCCCTCGCTCCACTGACGCTGCCCTGGAGGGAGAACTCATTGGGCAACTTGCTACCATGCAATCCACACAATTCACCTAGGTATGGTGGTGGTGGTTACTGGGTGGCTTGATGCCACACTACTTGTCTGGGCCTGGTAGCAGCCTCAGCACAGCTTTGCCAGGCATGTAGCTTCATTGAATGACTTGTGGTCGCCTGACTTTTGCAACTTGGCCAGACTTTCCCCAGGGAGAGGGAAAGCTGAGAGCCAGTGTAATACAGTAACCAGAGCAGGGATGGCGAACCTTTTAGAGACCGAGTGCCCAAACTGTGACCCAAAACCCACTTATTTATCGTAAAGTGCCAACATGGCAATTTAACCTGAATACCAGAAATGTTTTTGATAAAGCATCTTGGTGCTTGGGGGGGTCAACAGTGGGAGGGCTTCTAATGTCCTGGCCCCACTGGTGGACCTCCTGATGGGACTGGTATTTCTGGCCACTGTGTGATACAGAATGTTGGACTGGATGGGCCTTTGGCCTGATCCAACATTGGCATCTCTTATGTTCTTATGAATACTGAGGTTTTACTTTAGAAAAAACAACTCATACATTAACTTAAGATGATCCAAACAAAGTAAGGAAAGCAATCCCAAATGCTTTCATGTACTTAAAATTATTCGGCAGAGAATTCGACACTTTAATGATGGTCTGGGCCTAGCTGGGGCGATGGCATGCGTGCCGACAGAGAGGGCTCTGAGTGCCACCTCTGGCCCCCGTGCCATAGGTTCGCCACCACTGAACTAGAGTGTGACTAGGATCTGGGAGACCTGGACTAAAAACCCCACTCTGCCATGTAAACTTGCTGGGTTACCTTGCGCCTGTAACATTCTCTCATAAAGTTGTCTGGATAAAATGCAGGAGAAGAGGATAATGTATAGCGAACTGGAAAATGTGGTTCGTGTCGATTCATGGTTTATGACTGAACCACTAATTGAACCGGGAGCTTTGTTAAAAAACCGAACCAGTTTCTGGCCCCACAAACCCCGTTGAACGGGACCGCAGTCCTTTTAAAAGGGGTTTTGCAGAAAGCCCAAAAAACAGCTGAGCTGCGAGGAGCAGGCTGATCCCTGCCTCTCAGCTTTTAAAGTTTAAGGCGACTGCACAAGACAACCCAAAAAAGCTGAGCAGCGAGGATATGGGGTGGGCTGCAAGGAGGAGAAAAAGAAAAGATACAGGAAGAAATGAAGTGACCCTGATAAGTTCTTGTGGGTTCCCTATTTGTTTTTATATAATTTTATAAAGCCTCTACTCTTGTCCACCATTATCTTCTCCTTTCTCCCTGTACTAACAAGCCCAGTCTCTGCACTCTTTCTTTTCAGCACAGGTACCCTGTCTCTTTGACCATTTGGGTTGCCTCCCCACCCACTCCGCACCTTTTCCCACCTCTGGTATTGTCTCGAGAGAGATTCGTCATTCAGAACTCTCCAGAACAGATGACACCCCAGAACAGGTTTATCCAAGGTTGTTACGATACTGGCTGTCTTGTTTTCAGTCCCTTTCCTAATAATCCCTGGCATGAATGTGCCTCTTTTGCTTCTGCTACACACTGAGTCCCATTGAACTATCTGCTGCCAATTCAATTTGTAATAAGGAACAAAAACAAGCTCGTTTATTGTACTAATACCATTTGCCTAACGTGTTTTGAGGGAGGCCCCTTTTTACTGGGGGACTGTAAAATAGATGGTGACAAAGCCATTAAACTGAATCGCTAGAACTTGAATACAAGTTAAAAACAAAATTTTAATGGAGAAAATGCCGTTGCCCTCTTAGCTTTTCTCAGCCTGCATGGTTGCAGAACTGGACAGAGCCACCATTCGTAGGGACATCTGGTCAATATCTGAATGGGAAACTACTTGGGAATTCTATGAGTTCCATTTATAGAGGCAACAAGAAAGAAATATATTCCAAAATCTGTGGGGAAGTCTTGCATTTGATTTCACTATCTGTTGGCCCAAAGGTCTTCATCACAATTACCAATAGAGATGTAAAAGTTCTGGAAATCTTGAAATCCTGGGGGGAAATGCAGTTCTTCTTGCTCTTCAGGGAAGAGTGGAAATATATTCACTGCCTACTTTCCCGTCAAACCTAGACTTGTTTTTACTGTTCTAGCAAAATAAAATGCATCGTTTATAGCTGAGTTAACGTTTGAAATGGCACTAATCAGCATATTGGTGGAATTTAAAAGTATAAACATTCTGCAGGACTTGTCACACCCTGAACACTCCCTGTTTGAACTGCTGCCTTCGGGTAGAGGATATAGGACAATTAAAACAAGGACAAACAGATTAAAAATAGTTTTTATTTGAGAGCTATTATTGCTTTAAATGCTGTATGAAATTGGAATTTGGGTGACATTGGTGGTTTACGTTGCAATGTGAACCTTAAGGGAGTTATGGGATGGTTGTGAATGGTTGTGTTTATTATAAAGTTGTTGGCTTTCTACAAGCAAAATTCCGTATTTAACCAATACTTTAGAGAACGCTGCTGCATCCTGTCCTACCCTAACATATGCATCTTAATATTTGCCACCTGAGAGAGTTAAAATTAGAATACAGATTTTTAAGTAAGAGTGTATTTGTATGGAAACACTATCACTCAAATAGGACTATCCACATATTTAGATATCAAGTTAAACTTGAACATTAAAACACTGAATTATTTATTAATATATTATAGCATATAATATAGTATGTTATTATTAATTAGAGCATATTAAATAATTGCCAATTTTTAAACATTTAAACAATATACATATCTTTGAAATATGTTGCCTATGTCTACAATATATGCAAGAGTTATCAATATATTTAATTCACAGTGTTGCTCAACCTGGATACGTAAATCCAGGGATTGGGGCTGTGGAGAGATAAGGCCGATCTCTTGGCAAACATGTAAAAAGCCTCAGGTCTACAGGGGGGAAATGAAGTCTTAAAAGAAAAGAAAAACACTGGGAGGTTAGATCCCCTTAATAATAGAACCACTGCCTGTAGCTTTAAGAAAGAAATTTGTTCTGTGGCTGGGCTGGGTAACGATCAGATAACTTGCATGACTCACCCAGGTCCAGCTATTTGTTACTGTTCAACAGCAGCTACCCCACGAAAAACAAGGTGTGGCTCAGACTAAGATCTGAGAGACCCAGGTTTGAATCGAGCTCACTGGGTGATCTTGAGCCAGTTAACACGTTCTCAGCCTAACATACCTCAGAGAGCTGTTGTGAGGATAAAATGGAGGAGAGGAAAACAAGGTAAGCTGCTTTGGGTCCCCACTGGGGAGAAAAGTGTGGTATAACTGAAATGATAAATACAAGTGGGAACCCGCAAAGACTAGTGGGAGGCATCTCATTTCCAGTTTGGTGTAGTGGTTAAGTGTGCGGACTCTAATCTGGGAGAACCGGGTTTGATTCCCCACTCCTCCACTTGCACCTGCTGATGTGACCTTGGGTCAGTCCCAAGCTCTGGCACAGCTGTCCTTGAAAAAGAGCAGTTTCTGTCAAGAGTTCTCTCAGCCCCACCCACCTCACAGGGTGTCTGTTGTGGGGAGGGGAAGGGAAAGGAGTTTGTAAGCCGCTCTGAGACTCTGAGTGAAGGGCGGGGTATAAATCCAATCTCCTCCTCCTCCTCCTCCTCCTCCTCCTCCTCCTCCCCTTCCATCCAAAGCCTCCCCTTCCCCTTCTCCTCCTTCTTCTTCCTCCCCCCCCGTTCCCTCGTTCCCTTTCCTGAAAGCCCAAATAGCCCCTGCCTTTTTTTCTGCTTCCTTCTCTCCTTCTAGGGTTGCCAACTACAAGATCTCTTGGAATCACAATGGAATTGTCCCAACTACAGAAATCAGTTCCCCTGGTCATCTCCAAGTTGGGAAATTCCTGGAGGTTTGGGGAAGGACATTATTACTCAGCAGGGTATAATGCCATAGAATTCATCCTCCAAAGCAGCTTTGGAGAACTGATCTCCGTCATCTGACGAGCAATTGTAATTCTGAGTGATCTCCAGCCCTCGCCTGAAGGTTGTCAATCCGAGGTCCCTTGGAGGAAATGGCTGCTTTGTAGGATGAGGAAATGGCTGCTTTGTAGGATGGAGTCTATGGCATTACACCCCCTGAGGTTCCTCCCCTCCACAAACCCTCCTCTTCCCAGGCTCAACCCTGATAATTGCGTCCATCTTCAGTTTTCCCTCCTTCCCTCCCCCTGGCTGGCTCTACCCAGGAAAACTATGGCCCACTTGTGAGGAGTCGGCTTCCAGGCCTGTGCATGGTGGGAACCCATAAGGACGAGGGGGGGGGGACACCATTTTTCCCAGCATCCCCTTCCTCACACTATTTCTTCTTTTCCTGCTCTTGGTAATCCACATGTCCTCACCTTTCCCTGCTTCCTCTTTCCTTCCCATCAACCTACTGTTATCGACTATCTTGTATTCTAATCGCGAAGTCAGCCAGTCTTTAAATACTTAAATCTGGTGACTGGAGCTGTGAACAGGCAAGACAGTTCTTTCTGTAAACCTGGAAAAGGGTCCAGGTTTGCACAAAAATATGAAATCTAAGACAAAAACAAAAACTATTGAGGGCTTTTAAAAGAACTCCAAAAATGATAAAAGGAGCACCTATAGCTTTAAGCAACAGATTTCCTCAGTAGCTGTTGCTAGGCAACCACAGTATTCCATGCTGGGTACTGTAAGTAAAAGGTTACATTGATATTTAAATTGATGTTTGTTGCTGGTCCTAAGAGAGGCACATTAAGCAGCTGAAGTTCATAGAAGTGCTCCTGTCTTTCTCTAGTTACCAGCCAGAGGCTACATACCTTTCTTCCCTCTCTCTCTCTTCCAGTACTGGCGTCAGGTATACTTGATCACCGTGCTTGCAATGATCTTGGCTGTCTTCTTTGCTCAGATCCACCCCAGTTACCTCACTCAGCAGTGGCACAGGCTGCGTTCCGTCATATTCTGCTCCGTCTCGGGCTATGGAATCATTCCAACCATCCACTGGATTTGGCTCAACGGAGGCATTGGGGCATCTATCGTGCAGGTAAGCTGAGAAATCGCTGGCCTTGCATACAAAGAATCGTCCCCCTGTTTATCCTGAAGCGAGTTCCATGGAATTCACTCAGATTTGCTTTCCAGGTAAGGTTCTTAGGGCTTCATCCTGTCTCCCAATCCATCCCCCCAAGAGAAATGAGTTCTTAAATCACCACCAACTGTAAATGTTGAAATTTAACTAGTACAGTGGTGGAACACTTTCCCTATGAAGAAAGGTTAAAGTGCTTGGGGCTCTTTAGCTTGGAGAAACGACAGCTGAGGGGTGACATGATCGAGGTTTACGAGATTATACATGGGACAGAGCAGGTGGAGAAAGAAGTCCTTTTCTCCCTTTCTCACAATACAAGAACTCGTGGGCAGTCCATGAAATCACTGAGCAGTCAGGTTAGAATGGATAAAGGGAAGTCCTTCTTCACCCAAAGAGTGATTCACACATGGAATTCACTGCCACAGGAGGTGGGGGCGGCTACAAGCATGCGCGGCTTCAAAAGAGAATTAGATAAGCATATAGAGCAGAGGTCCATCAGTGGCTATTAGCCACAAGGTATAGATAGGGGCTCTGGGGCAAGTGATGCT